ATCCTTCTGCCTCAGCCTTCCAAGTAGCTGGAACTATAGGCATGCGCTACCATGCCTGGCTAGTTTTTGATTTATTGTAGAGATGAGGTCTCGCCAAGTTGCCCAGGGTTCAGGCAATCCATACAATAAATTTTTAAAAATTAGCCAGGCATGGTGGCGCACACCTGTGGTTCCTGCTACTTGGAAGGCTGAGGTGGAAGGATCACCTGAGTCCAGCAGGTGGAGGCTGCAGTGGCCATGAGTCTGGGTGACAGAGTGAGACTCTTACTCAAAAATAAACATAAAAATAAGCTGCTATTCATAAATTGCCAGTGGTAATGTAAATAGCATAGCCACTCATGAAAGTAGTTGGGCAGTTTCTTACAAAAATAAACATAAACTGGGTGGGGTGGCTCATGCCTGTAATCCCAACACTTTGGGAGACAGAGGCGAGAGGATTGCCTGAGTTAAGAAGTCCCAGACCAGCCTGAGCTACATGGTGAGATCTCGTCTCTACAATAAATCAAAAAATTAGCTGTGCATGGTGGCAAGCGTCTGTTGCTACTTGGAAGGCTGAGGTGGAAGGATCACTTGAGCCCAGGAGGTCGAGGGTGTGGTGGCCGAAAGTGTGCCAGTGAAATCCAGTCCAGACTAGATGACAGAGTGAGATTGACTCAAAAAAAAAGGTCGGGTGTGTGATGGCTCACACCTATAATCCTACCACTCAAAATACAAAAACCCCAAAAACCAAAAAAAAAAAAAAAATACTAAACTAAAATACAAGTACCATATAACCCAGCAATTGCACTCTTGTGCATTTGTCCTAAAGAACTGAAAATCATGCAGCTGGACATGGTGGTGCACTCTTTTTTTTTGAGTTGGAGTCTCTGTCACCCAGACTGGAGTGCAGTGGCATGTTCCTGGCCACCACAGCCTCGCCCTGCTGGGCTCCAGCGATCCTTCTGCCTCAGCTTTCCAAGTGGCTGGAACTACAAGGCGCGTGCTATCACGCCTGGCTAGTTTTTGGTTTATTGTAGAGACTAGGTCTTGCCAAGTTGCCCAGGCGGGTCTCAAACCCATGGGCTCAGGCTGTCTACTTGCTTCGGCCTCCCAAAGTGCTGGGATTACAGGCTGAGTCACTGAGCCTGGCCAGTGGTTCACTCTTATAATCCTAACATTTTGGGAGGCTGAGGTGAGAGGACTGCCTGAGCCTACGCATTTGAGACCAGCCTAGGCAACTTAGTGATACCTCATCTCTACAAAAATCAAAAAATTAGCCAGGTGTGGTGGCGCATGCCTGTAATTCCAGCAATTTGGAAAGCTAAGACAGAGGTTCACCTGAGCCCCACAGGTCAAGGCTGCGGAGGCCATGAGCGTGTCACTGCCCTCCAGCCTGGGTGACAGAGTGAGACTCCGACTCAAAAAAAAAAAAAAAAAAGAACTATGCATAAAATTATAATGATCTTAAAATAAAATGTTAAAAATTATATTTAGGTTTTAGGGTACATTACGATTTTTTTTGAGTTGGAGAGTTGGAGTCTCACTCTGTCACCCAGGCTGGAATGCAATGGCACTCTCATTGGCACAGCAGCCTCCGCTTCCTGAGCTCAAGCAATCCTCCCATCTCAGCATTCCAAGTAGCTGGAACTACAAGCATGCACCACCATGCCCAGTTGATTTTTTTTAATTTATTGTGGAAATGAGGTCTCATCAAGTTGCCCAGGGTTAATCCCGAATTCCTAGGCTCAGGCAATCCTCTTGCCCCCGCCTCCCAAAGTGCTGGGATTATAGGCATGAGCCACCGTGTCTGGCCTACTTTATGATTTTTTTTTTTTTTTTGAGTTGGAGTCTCACTCTGTAGCCCAGACTGGAGTGCAGTGGCGGCTCCCGGCCACCGCAGCCGC